CTCCCGCCCTCGCCCCGAGCGCGGCCGTCGTTGCCCTCCGCAGCGGCAGAGCGAAGCCGCGGAGATGGATGAGGAACCCGAACGGACCAAGCGCTGGGAAGGAGGCTACGAAAGAACATGGTAGGCTTTCCTTTTCCCTTCTCACCTCCTTGTTGGTGAAAGACGAGAAAAATCTCCCTTCTGCTCAACAACGATCTGTTTTGCGTAGGGAAATCCTTAAAGAAGACGAATCCGGATCGCTGAAAGCCACCATCGAGGACATTCTTTTCAAGGCAAAGAGGAAAAGGTATTATGTGTTGCCACCAGCCTGCTAATAATACCGGTTTGCTCAGTTAGAGGGACTTAACCATTCTGAAACTGGGTCCTCGAGGGTCAGCAAGCGTATCGGCACACTTGCAGTAGCTTTGTGTCCTTACCCCTGCAGAGCTTCAGATGCATGCTTCTTGCCTGCTACTTACTAATTGTGGCAGGAAAAATAGTAATATTTATTTTTATCTTTAATTTCAAGGCTGAATGTATACAGGCTAGATAGCCCAGATGTATTCTAGCTAAAGAGGTGAGGTCTTGGTCTGATGAAACATGGTGCAAAGCACTGCAATTGCAGATTGCACTGCTTAGAGAAAATTCTTCAACATTTTTTCAATATACAAATCGTGCTTCAAGCTGGGTTTTGGTATCATGGCACCAGATTTGTGTTTCAAATTGCCAGAAAAATTGCTGGATAAAATCTGGATTGGTTTTATTTCAGGTCGTGTTAAAATATTCAAATTTGGATAAAATTTTAAAGTTCCATTCAACCTGGTAATAAGAAATAGTTTTTGGTTTTTTTGAGAGACATGAAATCTGTTTGTAACTGAATTGTCTTTTTTTCAGTGTAAATAAGTGCCTGTGGTTTGTTATTGCTTCATATTTGCCAAAAGTCTCGTATTGGATTTGTTCCAGACTTTTGTTTTAGGAACAATTCCTTCATTTGCATCTTACTTAAATCCTTTTGTGTTTTATTAGACTCTATGAACACCATGGACAAGTTCGACTGGGAATGGTAAGTTAATATCTTAACCCTTGTCTGTCCTGAGTCCAAGACTACTTGAATAGAGGTAGTATGCCTCATCTGAAATACACTTTTGCTAACTTAATGTGCTTGAGACCACAGCCTGCATTTTCCACCAAACTTTTTTTTTTTTTTTTAAAAAACATTTTTTGTTCATTGGTGGTGTGGGATGTGAAGCACGAGTATTCAGAGGGGCAGGTTTGGCATGTTCACTGCATTGGGGTGTGTTTTGCATCAGCAGTCAGATGACATGCACTTGCACTGTCAATATTTCTTCATGTGAAAAATGGGCATAGTTTAAATGAGTTGTAAATAATAACGTACAACACTGAGCTTTTCAGATGAAGAGGTGAAGGTGCAAACTATGCATATTTTGTAGTTTTTCATGAGAGGAGAACAGTGTGCATTTTTCAATATAGGGTTTTTTTTTCATTTTGAAGGAAAAGTGGAAAAAATGCATTACTTTTCCAGTTGTTGTTGATTGCATAGCTCAGTGTACTGAATTTTTGCTGTTTGAGGGAGGAAGTAGTTGCTTTTTTAACTAAATGGAATAATAAACAGTTCATTGAAATATCTGTTCTGTGAGTGATTATCACTTATGGTGAAAATGCAGATGCGTCACCTTTACGTGGTTGTTGATGGATCAAGAACTATGGAGGACCAAGATTTAAAACCAAACAGACTTACTTGCACTTTGAAGGTATTTCTGTACTCATAAGTTTTCTCTTATTAATCCACTGTTTTTCTGTAAACCAGTTCCATTTTGCATTTAAAAGAATGGTAGTCTCCTGTGACTAGATTATGTGCGTAGCCTCATCTCTTCTCTCATCCCTACTTTTTCCCTTGTTTCTGTTGCTGGTCTGTAATCTTCCTGGCTTTTGAATAGTAAAATCTGTGTGATTAGTTTGCCTTGCACGAGTACTTCTGTATGGTAAAAACACTTCGTAAGGACATATTGTGGAAAGACACATTATGAAAAGTATGTGGAAATAAAGCTGAAGTGTTGCCTGTAATAAGGGATGAAAGAAGAACAAACATGCTTTCATTGCACGTCTAAATTTTTATTTTTTTTATAGTTGTGGTTTGATGAATTGTGGTTTGAATGGATGCTAGGCAGGAGTTGAACTGGATGGCTGCTTCAGACTGTGGAGGACTTGAACTGTACATCTTGTACTATATGGTCTTCTCTAACAACACTAAGCATTGAAATCCTGGGGTTTGATGATTTTTGTATGAATTAGTGCTTTTTGGTGTATCGTAAACCTCCATTTGAAACAACAGTAATCCAGAACTTTAACATATAAAGTGAATAAAATAAGGGGTGGGTGGTTTCTGAAATTTACATTGTATGGGTAACGTGGAAGGAAGGAGAAGGACGGAAGGGCTAGGATGAAAGGAGAATGGAAAGGAACAGCTCATTCTCCCCCTTTTTTTTTTCCCCAGCATTTTTTTAAGTGATAGTGGATGTTTTGCGAGTACCACCTACTTAATGCATGTGGAATAAAACTGTCTTCAGTTTTCAACGGTGTTAACTTTTCTTTGTAGTTACTGGAATATTTTGTTGAAGAGTACTTTGACCAAAATCCTATTAGTCAGGTATGTACAACCATGCAAGAAACAAGTAACTGAAAACTATTTTAAAAGTTAGTTTTAGTTTTAACACTATCTAGTAAACTGTTTCTAATTGATGTGTTCCTTCCGTCCCTTCCTCATCAGTCTGGTGAAATTCTTGTTTCTGCCTGAACTAATGAAAATAAGAGTCCATATATTCCCTTTTTCCTAAACATAAATTCTAACACAGAAGATCTGATTGTATTTTTTTTCAGGCATTTAGAATTTTAGAAAATTTCTTTTTGTACCTTGTGGCAAAAGTACTGGAAATACAGGAATGTATGTTAACTGATGCATAGTGTTGTGCTGCTTTTGTTAAACTTGCAAGAAAACTTGTATAGTTAAGTAATTCTGATCCATAAAGACGTGTTCGGCAAAATATAGCAAAAATGTAAATCAGCTTATTTTTAAACTTGCTAAGAAAAGTTTTGCCTTTTTTTTTTTCCTTCTCCAGATTGGCTTAATTGTAACCAAGAGTAAAAGAGCTGAAAAAATGACAGAACTTTCAGGTAGGGAGGTAGTATATTTTTTTTAAATTGGAGACATTTTCATCTCTTGTGTTGATGTTATGAGTTCTACCTGGATGACACTTCTGAAAGTGAAGTAGCGTTAACATAATATTTTTGATTTAAAAGAAAGGTTATTGCAACTTATCCAAAACCAGAGTCTTTATTTTGATGTTTTGATCTAGAATTGTCATTGCGTGCTTGTTCAAGTCTTACCCAGGTTGCAACTGAAATATGCTTTGTTTCCCCTCTGGTTAGTTTCTCCCCTGTTTGTTAATTTTGTATTTTATGACATCTGTGTGTTCTGTGAAATCTGATCAGATGTTAAGAAGCAAGGTTTCTTTTGTTCCTGCCTTCTGTCACTAGGAATCCATGTGGCTTCAGAGATGAAGTCTTATTTTTTCCTCTTTGTTCGCCTGTAAAACTGGAGCAACTTTATTGAAGAATTTGAGGATCAATCAATCCTTGAACAGTACTTTGAGGATAACAGAGGAAACTAAACTCTGTTTCTGCTGACTCTTTGTGAGGCGTTTCACACTCGTGTTAAGCGCTTAATGATCCACAACAGCGATTTTATTCCTTTTAACTTCTTAGTTTCTAACGATTGAGCATCTGTAGGGTAAATGTCTTTCTGTTAATATATTGTTTTATTGTTTTCTACATTCTGATCAAGAGGTCACTTTCTAAGGAGAAATGTAGAGTTACAAGTCACAGTTTGAAAACTGTTATTGTGCAAGTACACTTCATTAAATATATAGTTTAAATATTTCAATTCTTTTAGCTTGTTATTTCAGGTGAATTGTTTTTTTCACTTACAGGTAACTCAAAAAAGCACGTAACTGCTCTGAAGAAAGCAGTGGATATGAACTGTAGTGGAGAGCCATCTCTATATAATTCCCTAAATTTGGCCATGCAAACTTTAAAGTTAGTATATACATGGAGTTTTTTTGTTTTCTTTGTTTTCCATAATCAGTATAGTGCTGATTGTGAATTTTTGAGGGGCAGAGACAGTATTTTTTACAAGTAGCATCTTGCATCATGCTGACCTGAGTCTTTAAAAGGCAGCTTTATGTCCTCTTACAATACAAACCATTAAGAAGTTAAATATGCTAGTAATGCAGAAGTTAATTTTCTAACACAAGATACTTGTATTTAGAGGTGTGCTGCTTATAAAAAGCAAGAATATTTTAAAAAGAGTAGGTGATTTTATGTTGTGTGTGAATATGGCGATGAAAGACCTTGCAGTTATTTTCTGCTAGAGGGCTAAGGTGTGAGAGAGGGCAGAGTTAGGGATTAATAATGGTAAGAGAACAGGAAAAGAAACAGCACTGAATCACAATAATCTGCTGGGAGTCTTGGCATACTTTAGAAAGGTAAGTTTTTGTTTGGGTAGGATAGATTTAAAAAACTTTTGCTACGTGAGGTATTGAGATGGGATAAACATTTGTGGAAGACTGTTTTAAAAAATAATTATAGCTAGAAACACTGACAGGACAAACCTGGTAGTCAGTGTCATAAAAATTATTTGAATGACTAGTTGGAAGAGAGTTTTCCATTTAGAACTGAAAGAGAGTAGTTAAAAGTAATGGATTTACACCTATAAACTGATTAGAGATTTTTATTTTAAGAAGTCAGGAAGACTTACTGCAGTGCTGCTAGTTTGAAGGTGAATTTTACCTGTGAGAGTACTGATAAGGTACAGGAATAACTTAAGCATTAGAGCAAACAGTCAGATAACAACTACACAATCAAATACTGTATTTTAGATACTGGAAAGTTTTGGCTTTTAGAAGGTGAAATTCTGGTGCTCAGAGAAGGATCTTACCCGTCTTTTATAATTTGTAGGGTACTTCATATCATATCATATCATCTTCTGACTTTAGTACGTTTAAAGTCCTTGGAAGCTTTAGCATACACATAGCTTAGTGTATAGAAGTAAATTAACGATATACTTTCTTTAGGCACATGCCAGGACATACAAGCAGAGAGGTTTTGGTAGTCTTCAGCAGTCTGACGACATGTGATCCAGCCAACATCTATGATCTAATTAAGGTACAGACGTGAAGTTTGACTACTACGTTGAACATACATGCTATTAGACTAAAAACAGACAGTTGCAGTGTCATTGCCAGTTAATTTTCGTTTAAAACTTTGAGCCTTTTTACTGTTTTCTGTTCTGCATATGAACTTGAGTATGCTTTCTTTTTCCATTTGAAGTGTTTAAAAGCAGTTAAGATCAGAGTGTCTGTCATCGGCCTCAGTGCTGAAGTTCGAGTCTGTACAGTGCTTGCCCGAGAAACTGGTGGTATGTATCTGAAATTCAGTAGATATACTACTAATACAAGTTTAAAATCAAAAGCAGCCAACTAATTTCTCATATATTCATTAATGTATTTTGATATTTAAAGATGAATATTCTGTTGTGCTGGCAGAAAATTTAAGGGTTTCCCAAATCTACAAAATACACAGGATTTAGTGAAATTATTATCAGCTGGTAGCTGCATTTCTAGAGAGAAGCAATATATATATTTTAAAACCCAGTGTTCCACATAAAGAGCTATGTGATGTGGAACTTAATTAATGTAACATGTTAATATCAGTTACTACAGTGGTAACACAGTGTCATTACTACAGTATATAGAGAGAAAAAAGCTATGGGCCTTCATGTCTAATTAAACATTCTGGTGTTATTAATTTTAAAACTTGTCATTTTCAGTAGCATTAACAGGACTTTTTTAGGCACAGGGTTGGCTATTTTTTTTTTTTTACTTAAGATGTTTTCTGTCATTTGGACAATGTTTGTATTCTTATCTGCTCATAATCTGAGAGTAAGGCATTTCTTTCTTCGTGACAGGAACATACCACGTTATTTTAGATGAAAGTCATTATAAGGAGCTGCTGATGCATCATGTTAGTCCTCCACCTGCCAGTTCAAGTTCTGAGTGCTCCCTTATTCGAATGGGTAGGATATGGTTTTGTTCAAGTCCTAGCACAAGACTGTGAATCTTGTCTGTTTCTTTCTTTGCATCTTCTGTGTTAAAGCCATACAAATAGTTAGAAGCATAATAAAGACATTGCACAATTTTTTTTTATTTTATTTTTTATTTTGCTAGATAGATATCAATTTTCTTGATGTTGTTCCTGCAAAGTCATCAACTTTTAAATGAAGTTAAGAATTAAATAAGACAAATTACTCAACTGCAGTTGGAAACAGTGAAGTGGAATGATACTGCTTGTACAGTAATTGATATAAACGTAATACTTAGAAATGAAGGATAAAAACCGATTTTGTTTCTCCCTCTGTTTTTTCTCCTGCAGAAGGCAACTATTATAAGCTTAATTAACTATAAGAGCCATCTGTTTGGCCATATAGTACGTGTTTCTTAGGGGCACTGTTGTGGTGTTCTTTCAACAAATGGATTAGGTACCTTTTCTTCCCCAGATGTATTTCTCAATAAATTTAAGCCTGGAGTTAAACCAGAATAGGAACTCTAATGCCACAAATTAGAGCATTGATTTCTCACTTTCATCCACCTGTTTTTACTGATAAGAATGTATGTATTTTTACGTGTAGATTTCAAGACTGAAGAGATTTACTTGTTATAGGTAAAGCCTGAGCAGCAGTTGGAAAAATGAACTGCCCACTTGACATGAGCTGCAAAAAATAAGCAGTAAAAATAATGGTATCTGTTACAGCCTTCGTAAAGTGCTATAGTCTCATCTGTCATATACTGCACTTGGAAGGTGAATATATGCTTGGTGTCTGCATATAAAAATATTTTCCCCTTAATTAGAAACCCTTGTTCAAGTGAATATTCATGTAGTGCTCTTTCTGCTTTCCTACCACTGCACATCATTTTCTTTTTAGCTGTTCTTCAAAAATGGGGTTCCAGTGAGCTTCAGTTAATATGAAGTCTATGAAAACATTTTTTTTCAATTGGGGAAATACAATAAGGCATTTGTTGGTAGATGTAGGTAGAGACCTTTAAGAAGAATTTGATACCTAGTAAGAGTGTATTACTTCTCCTGTAATAACAAACAAACAAAAAGACAGATAGGCCTTAATGTTTAGAATAATCTTTGAACTTCTGCATTGAAGTAAGAAACGGAAAGATTACTTGCATGTTTAAAATTGGTAATATGAGGTGTTTTTCTCTTCAGGTTTTCCTCAGCATACCATTGCTTCTCTATCTGATCAAGATGCAAAGCCATCCTTTAGCATGGCGTGAGTATAGTTGATTAGAATTCAATGAGCTGATTAGAATTCAATAATTAAAATTAGTCATATTTAGAAAATCTGCTTGTCAGTGAAAATATTGCAAAATAACATGAAAAAATAGTAAATCATGTCTTATGACTTCTCAGTAGAAATTTTGTTTCCATTTGCACATCCAGTATGTGGACATAGATACCTCTGTTGAATATGCTTTTTAAAATCTACATTTTGAAGGCAAATCTAAAAAAAAGGTAAAATCTAAATTTTTTGAAGGTAGTAAATGGCTTTTAGTTGTGTTGCGCAGTGATTAGAACACAAGGTATTAAAGTGGTTACTACAAATTTTACTTGCATTTCTTGATTCAAGTATTTTTATCACTATAAAGCTAATGATGAGGATGAAGGGCGTTATCTGGAATAAAGTATTTTAATGTGACTTTAAAGGGAAGTTTAAACTAGAGGCCTCATTTGATTAGTGTACCAGTGCTCTTCTCAATGAAAGGAATCATGGTTTTCAGGGGTGATAGGGGAATCTGAATTTTCAGAAGGAAACAGTGTCTGCTGTTTGAAAGAATAAATACTAATATGCATCTTAAGGTCAATACAGAGTATTTGTGTGTGTGTAAGTAGAAATACTACTGCTGTTATCTTTCATAACTTTATTTTTTTTGAAGATATATTGGCTTCTTTATGTGGGAAAATTTGGTCTTTGTTCTGGTTCTGTGGGAAAATGTAGTTACTGATATCTCACAGTATCAATTGCTTTCGGACGCTTCCATACACATGGAACTGTTGCATGGAAGCTACTGAAACTTTTTAAACTATCTGTTGTGAGAACTATGTAGTATTTTTAGTCATGTAGTATTATGGTGTTATCTCTTAGGTATTAAATTGTCTCTTGCTACTCTAGGCAATTGGAAAACAGCAGTGAGCCGGGTCTTACACTGGGTGGCTATTTCTGTCCCCAGTGCAGAGCCAAATACTGTGAACTTCCTGTGGAATGCAAAATCTGCGGTGAGTAGCAAGCAAAGGTGAGCAGATGAATTACGAGTTAGTGGTAAGAGTTAAGGGGTAGAAAAATTGTACTATACTCTAGGAATTAAAAGCCAACTCTGCTTTAAGAAGCCTGCATTCCTGTGTCCTGGGATGTCAGCTTCGTACAAGGGACTTTCAGGACTATACCTGTAACAGTAAAGCAGTATCATATTCCCCAGTATAATGTTATAAACTAAAAGCCCTAAAGCAAAGGGGGGAAGGAGGATGATTCACATATGAATGGTAATAATTTCCTCAAGAATCCTAATTTAACAGACACACCAATGTTTCAGACTCCTCAGTGCAAGGCCATGAGATTAAAGAAAGCTTTGGAGTAAGAGGACAGAAGCACCCCTTCACCTCTGGGAGTATGTGGATGAAAGGTTTCAAAGTTGAACCCAAGGGCAGGCTGCACAGTGACACTTGAACATGGAGTTATAAACGGAAGCCCTTCGGTCTTGCAAATGTTAATGGACTGTGCAACCAATTGTGCCCCCCTGCCCCTAACGAGGGTGGGAGGGAGGATTAGCATTTTTTAATGGTATTAATATTGTGTGAGCGACAGCTGTCCTCCTGTTAGCTGCTGCAGGTGTATGACTAAAACATAATAGGTATTATCAAGATGCGTGTATTTGGCAAGAGGATGAAATAATTCTAGTTTTGGGTTACCTTGTTCTAGTTTCATGTCAAGGTTTTCATGTCGTCATGAGTTTCGTTTCAGCAAGGTAATAGTGTAACTGGAGAAATCCTGTGTATCAGCAACAGATTCTCCACAGCTGCAGCTGTCAGCAGAACAAGAGCTTGGAAGTTTACACTGCATGTGAGTGAGCAATGAAGAAGTTTGTGCCAGCCCATGCCCCAGCTAACACTAGCCTGTTGTCGTGGTTTAACCCCAGCCGGCAACTAAGCACCACACAGCCACTCACTCA